TCATCATCATCATCATCATCATCATCACGCCCGCCACTACCATCGTCGTTGTCTTAATTTTATGATTCTTCTTTTTTCACTCTTTCTGTGCTTTCTAATTTGTTTTATACTTTAAGCATTACCATCACGATTTTCGTCGAGAAGTAGACGTGATCGCTGGGGCAAGTACTTTATTCACTTGAAGTTTCGGATTCCTCTGACATCCATAATCAGAGGGGGCATCGGATAAGAGTAGTTCGTATACAGGAGTTGCAGTATTTATAGGATCTCAGCTCCCGAGGTTCTGCCTCGGGACGTACTGTCTGGTCGTCGGAACAATCTACGAGCAGGTGAACGGAACACCATTTGATTCACCAATTTCCAGACGGATAGGCGAGACGGTCCTAAAACTGTTAGAGTTGCTGGTCTTCCAAAAGCACAGACCGAAATTTCTGAGCTCGGCATCTGGATGATACTATCGTCATCGAACAGGGTCAGATGTTGATGTTTTAAGAATGCCTCAACAGGGGCTTCTCGGAAATACAATTTACGACAGAGACGCAAGTAAACAACCAGCTGGTCTTCCTCAACGTCCTCGTCTGCCGCAAAGCTTCTGCTGACCTAAAGATTAACGTTCTCAGGAAAACGATAAATACGACGCAAGTAATGAACGTCAATAGCAACTACCCGATCGGTCACAAACGCAGTTGCGTAAAGACGCTATACCGGCGCGCCGAGACGCATTACAGTGAAGCTGAAGAGGGGGCTGCCAAATTGCACTGTCTTCGACAGGTCTTTAGAGAAAATGACTACCGGCGACACTTCTTCAACCGGTGTATGTGTAAGCTAGACGGGCGACAAAATTGCCCCAGAGTTGGCGGGCGATTCCGTATATCAAAAATGTCTCGTATGTCGTCAGCGACCTTTTCGTAGTATTTGGAAGGGGAGTCACACCCGGGCTAGAGGCAACCATTATCAACGCGTTTAAAAGACCCACTGCAATAGCAAGAAACATCTAGAGTCGTTTGCCGGATCTGGTGCAGTTTCACGCAAAGCAACTACGTCGGATAAACTGGAGGACGGCTCCGGACGCGGATTTTCGGAGTCGCAGCATTAGTGCGGAGGAGTGACGCCAATTCTCACCTCGCGGTTCATTCGACGAGACCCGACCTCACATTCAAATTCGATAAGACCGAAATTCTCGCGATAGTTGACAATGGCGTAAGCTGCAAGTGGCTTGAGTCATGTTTTACGGGCCCCCAGTCTAGTAAGATATGCAATGATCTCCCAAACCCATTTTCTGTACTGAGACTTTGTTTGGGCAAAGCAATTAGTTGCTCGGGGAACAAACAGACAACTACATTTTCCGACGCCAATGCTGTTGAGCTAGAAGGCCGAGCAATCACCACGCCCACATTCAATACAGGAGTTTAAAGTTCAGCAGGTAACGACCCGCATGTCGGCCATTCAGCAATAAGCACACCCGAAGGCAACGGGCCTCGAGGAAGGGAAAACCGTCAGTTTTCATAGGTCTACAGTAGCATAGTGACTGCGTGCTATAAATACTGAAACTTTCTGCGTACGAACTACACGTATCTGATGCTGTCTCCGATGATGGGTTCGAGCTGGAGTTCGAAACGTCGGGCGAATAAAGTTCTTGTCAGGAGAAGAAGCGACCACTGGAACAAGATTTTCCTTTTCCAGACGTTTCGGATCCTGTCGAGAATACTTAATCATAGGTAATCGTACAAAAGTTAGAGAAATGCGCAGATAAGGTTGATACATGCACGGATTACATGGTATTTATAGTTCGTAGCGGTTATCCGCATGCGTACGGTAAGTATCAGTTCATTTAGTCACCACTTGGGGTCTTAATTGGTGCAGTGATGGCTCATCAATTGCCACGATTTCCTTGTCCGCGTCGGATGCGGGCTTCACAATTGCGCAACAATTATGCCCGCTGTCGTCAGAGTTGTTGCTGGGCCCGGCCCTTTCCACATGACTGATTCTCTTACTCAGGCAATTTCTCAGTACACCGTATGGGAACGCCAAATCTTTGCGTTTGTTGATGGACTCGGGGCCTGAGAACCATGACTCGAGCAGCTCGCGGCTGACGCGGTTGTCACCTCTTGCGAGGATTTCGGCCTCGTCAAACTTGGAAATATGGCCGAGTCCCGTCGAGTGAACTGCAACAGTTGCAGCCATCGCCGCACAAATTTAGACCCCAAGCGGTGGCTACAGGAACTGGTACTTATAGCACGCGTGCGGATGATCGATACGAACTATGAATACCGTGTAATCTGTGCATGTATCAACCCTGTCTGCGCATGTTTCAGACCTTTCTACGATTACCTATGATTAATGACTCTCGACAGAATTCAAAACGTCAGA